CTTCCCCCCCCCCCCCCCCGCCCACCAAAACAAAATCAAGGTCTGTACTTCTTTTGGGAACTTGAAGGCTACCCAGGATATAATAATAAACAGATGAAGTTCAACCATGAAGGTTAATTTCTTTGAAAACACTGAGATATTATGTCAAGAAAATTTTAAGCATGAATATAGATGATGTGAGCTGCCCAAGAAAGTTTTCAAAAGAATTTAGATGAGCACATATCTGCTTTTTTCTTCAAAAGTTTAATGAAAGCAAGGACCTTCCCCTACCAAATGTGCCCAGCAACTACAATGGCATCAATAAGGAGCTTCAACATGGTCACCACTGCATAAGATGAAGTACTTCTTGCTTTTTTCCTTGCTAACATTTCTGAAACACTTTGGCATCCTTATTTTATTCTTCTATTTTCCTCTGAGACCTCAATGGAACATTTCATAATTTTTCATTTCTATAAAAAGGAAACAACTAAGAGTATGAGTAAAGCCTGGAGAGAGTGAAAGTAAGTTCTGGATAAATATACTCCACATAAACTCTGGCAATCCACATCTGGACTGATCTCTAATGTTCTTGCTATTCTCATCTTGGGTGTCTTATGAGAGAAGACTACCATCTTGCCAAGTTGTGAAGGAATCTGGTCATGTGAATCTACTTCTCTGAGGAGTAAGGATGAGACCACCCAAAGTCTGTTGACTTGCCCATTAATCCAAATTTTAAATAAAAGGAGTTAAGGCTGCAAGCAAATCAACTGTGTTAAAACTGTGTCCTGGCTCCCAACATATTGACTTTGAAACAGACACAAATTCCCCAACCTGTACGAGCTCAGATGCAAATGAATGGTCAGTAAATATAACCCTAACAAAATTCCACAAATGGCATAGCCGCTCAGTATTTCAGTGTGAAGTGAAAAAAAAATGATTCTAAACTTCAGTTACAAAACAATTGTACTGTATACATGCAAATTTGGAAATACTTTGACTTTCTGCAAATGCTTGCAATCTTAACACCACAAAGTACCCCGAAAGCTATCCATAACCTGTCGGTGCTTTACACATTCACCCCATTCTCCCCTCCCATTTCTACCTCCATTATTTGCCAATTTTCATGTCTTTCCTTCTATTTTCTCCTCAAAAATTTTTCTCCTCAGCTATCAGTGTGTCCAATTCGTTGAAGTCTAAATGACTCTTTCTATACTACTCATTACTGATTACTCTTTTCTTCTGCCTTTGAAATAATGGATAAGAGAAGGACACCCAGAGAATAAAGAATGAAGGGGAATTCTGGCTAGGGTTTCAGAGACAGGGTCCAAGAGAAAAAGGCAGGCGAGGACAATGTCTCCACTAACACCTGATGTGGCTACACTTTTATCATATCAGAATAAGTATCTATACACAAAAAAGCTATTCTTTTGTTGTTCCCCATCTTAGAGTGTTAATATTCTCCCCTCCCTTTTATTTTCCTCCCAATGTTCTACTTTGTCAAAAATCTGAAAAACTAAACAACAGCAACAACAACATTCACTTGCCTGGGTAACTTAAGGGGATTTCTCTAATTATTACGGTAAAATAATTTAGAAGAATAAATTGCTCTCAGTTACATGACATAGTAGGAGCACTGACTTAAAAAAAAACTGGTGAGGATCTGTGACCAAGAACAGACAGGGTTGGGGCTGGCAGAAGGAATGGACAAAATTTAGTCAATTACAATTTAAATCTCCTATTCCTTTTCAACCTAGGGTTCTATATTAGAAGCTGACTTAAAAAATTATTTGAATCAGTGGTATAATGTGTACTTGGTTATACACAAAATTATATTACAGAAAATATAACAACATTTTAGACTTATCAAAATACTATAATAAAATAATCTGCAGCTGGGTGAGGTGGCACATGCCTGTAATCCCCACACTTGGGGTGCTGTGGTAGGAGGATGGTCAAAGTTTGAGGCCAACCATGGCTACACAGTGAGTTCAAGATCAGCCTGAATTACATAGTGAGAACCTGTCTCAAAAACAAAAAACAAAAGCAAATAAAACCAAACAAGCAAACAAAAAAATCAGAGTACCCTAGGGCAATTCTTTAAGTAAATGTATAATTTAGCTTTAAATTTTTATTTTATTCATTTAATTAGTATTTATTGAAGAGCTGATATATAAAAATAGTTATAGTTCCTGCCATCAGGGTGTTTCACACCTAAGAGGGTGACAGACAACAAATGACCACACAAATAAGTATACAACATAGACCATTATAAATAATACAGTTAAGGGATGGAATTTAGATAGATGAATCAAGAAAGTTAAGAAATGGAGGATGAGTAGTGATGAACTTCCATTTCCAGAAATAATGCAGTTATATGATGAAACCGTATCACTAAAAAAATATTAAAATAATAGATAAAATATAAGATTCTTAAAAGCGTTGATGAGTTATATGGAAAAATTCCACATCTAGAATCTCAAAAAGAAGTTTTGATAGACTAAGTAGCTTTGGGCTTCAGATATTTTAAACCATTTTTTCTCTATAATCCAAAAACTTTCAATGCTGGGAACTAAAGAACGTAATAATTTTGCAATATAACTTCTAATTTTTCACCCTATTTGACAGTATCCAAGTATAGTGGCCAGAATAAGTATTTCTGAAGTCTTTCCTACCTCAAGATGGTTAGCAATAACTTAACTATATATGGAAGTGACTGTGAACCACGTAATATATTGCTTTACATTTTAACTGAACTTTCCTTTAGCATTACCCCCACAATGTTTATAGCCATTCCAAAACTACTTCACATAAAAGGAAGTATGATGGAAGGTAAATCAAAGTGGAAAAAAGACAGAGGTCTTGATTGATTACAAATAAAATATCTCACATTTTCAGATTTTACAAAATATGTAACTAGGTGAATATATTGCTGGGGCCCTCACAAATTGCTGGAAGATGCCCATGTAAGTGAAGAACTCTGAAACTTAAGCTTCATTAATGAGCTTCATGGTAGGTTCTCCCCTTTTTCTGTGTGTGAATTTTAGAATTTAACTTAATGAGACAGGGTCTCGCGTCCAGGTTGGCCTTGAACTTGCAGAAATCCTCATCTCGGCCTCCTGAGTGCTGGGATTACAGGTGCATACCACCATGACAGGCTATGTTTGTATTTGACTGTGTTTGTGGGCACAGTTTGAAGAGATAGGGGTAGCAAGGATATAAAAGAGAATATAAAAGAGAATAGGTAGAACAAGGGTTAGAAGGATGCAAAAAAGAACACAGAATGAAGAGGTTATAAATATAGTAGGATGGGAATTTATGAGTAGCAAGCAGCACAGTGTTCATGATTGATAGTTGCCTATCAGTCAAAGAGGAGACAAAAATAAAAAGGTAAAGATGTGTCCAGACCTAAGTACTTAGAAATGCATGGGCTTCAAATAGTTACTCCGAGGAAAGAGAATAGATGCTAGCCAGGCATAGGAGTGCATGCCTGCAATCCCAGCACTTGGGAGGCTGAAGCAGGAGAACAGCCATGATTTCAAAGCTAGTGTGAAATGCATAGTGAGTTCAAGGCCAGCCCGAATTACATGGAGATAACCTGCCTCAAAAAAAAAAAAATCAGAGAGAGAAGGAGAAGGAGGAGGAAGAAGAGGAAGAGGTGGAGAAGGAGGAGGAGAGAGGAAGGAGAGGGGAGGGGAGGGAAAGGAAGGGAAAAATGCTGATGAGGAATAAGGAAAAGAGCCAAAGGAAGATTCAGCTAAACTGGAAAAACATTCAGAATCGTACCAGATTAAGTGTGTAAAAGAAGATTGTAGAGGGACTGACCTAAAGCTTATCAAATGACCAGGATGAAAATGAGAAAAGATTACCACATGCAGAGTGATCTACAGTGGCAGTGTGGAGCCATAAGAATCACATTCATTCCTATTTCGAGAGTCTCAAGAAGTGAATGCAATGAAAAAACAGTCTCTTAGGCATCCACTGTTAGCAAGGAATATCAGGCTTTGGTTTAGACAAGGAAGAAGGGGTACTTTATGAATAGCACATCTGGTTACTTTTTTGTTCCCAGCATCAGGGATAGAACTCGACCTTGTGCTTGCCAGGCAGGCGTGGCGCCACTGAGCTACATCTGCAGCCCAACATCTGGTTACTTTTAATCTACTAAAAAGGCCAATTTTTCTGCTTTATGGGCTAGTTTTATCCATACTAGTATATTTAGAATAATAATAATGATGATGATGATGATGATGATGATGATGATGATGATGATGATAAAATCAGTCAAGGAAAAGGACAATCTTCAAAGAAACAAGGGAAAAGAACACAAAGAACAAAAGCCATGTACCAAAGAAAGAAGACCAAATCCAAATCAGGATGGTCTGTGCATTGGGATATATTAAAACAACAGCCATTATCCTTCTTTAAAATAAATATTAAGTAGCTAAAAGAAAAAGATGGAACACCTTTCTTTGCTTCACTTCTTACTATGGAAGCATCATTGAAAAAATCCAACCTAATGAGACACACTACGCTTTCTTCATCCTAGGTAATCAGTTGGATTATATTAGGGGTTGAAGGTAGGAGCTAGTATCATGTAGACTGATTTGCTAAGATAAAAGCTAGTCATTACACAGGAAACAATAGGAAGCCATCTTTTCAATTTTCTACTTTTGATGCCCCCTGAAATGACTGATGACTGTTTTCTTCCCCAGTTTTATTAAATCTCTAAGAGGGGATAGACAAAAAGAGAGCAGTCATTTTCTGATAAACCCTTAGTGCTTAATCACATGCTGACTGACTTACACAGTTCTTAATTGTTTCATGTCTTTATCTTATCTTGCTAGTGAGACTATAAGCACTCAAGAGTTCAAACTTCTCTTCAGTTTTCCATGGCAACTATCATAGTACTAGGTACATATGGCAGAATAGGCACTCAATATTATTACTTGTCACTTTGAGAAAACTGTGGCATTAAAAGTGATCTTATAAATCATCAAGTCCAATTCACAAATGAAGAACCTAAGGTACAGAACAGTAAAAGGGCTGGGTACTTACAGATCAGGTCCACTATTTGAGCTGTCAAGAATGAGAAACACTGAAGCGAAAACCAAGTGGTATATTTTCTAAGAGGAATTCTGGACATGGAGAAATGAAATCAGAAAAATAAAACTTCAAAAACAAGCTAAAACAAAATAGAAATAAAGTGTTTGTAAATGGGGAAGGGAGGAGGGGGTGAAGGGAGGGCAGGGACAAGGGGAAAACATGAGAACCAAGACCTGTCATGTAAAGGTACAAGATCCCAAAGATGAATGTAACTGTACTGTATACCTAAAATGTACCGATAAACTCAATGAGAAAACAAAAAACAACAACAACAAAAACAAGCTAAAACATTACCAGAAATTTATCATCAGTAATTTTCTTTGGGAGAAAGGTTATTATTAGCCAGCTTCCTAATTAACTACTTTTACACACATGAGCTGTATTGAATATCATGTAGCAAATTCAAACAATGTTTTAAGAATCATATAATCTGAGAAGGACAACCTATACAATCAGGCCTTGATATAAAGCAGCAATGGTGAATGTTTTAGAGACGAATGCCCAAACTGCAACCCAAAATCCACTTATTTATCACAAAGTGCCAATGCTGCAATTAAACCTGAAAACTGAGGTTTTAGTTTAGAAAAAAACAGCTTATACATCACAGTTTTTGTCTTAAAAGAAAAATAAAACACATGCCACAGGCTCACCACTACTGTAGAAAGGAACAAACAATTTCCCCAAAGAATGAAGACAGCAGGAAAAGTTTTGGCGATAAGTGCTGAAGGGGAAAAGGGTTTCTAGAATTCAGAATTGAACTAAGCAGTCTTGAAGCACTAAAATGAGTTCTAAGAACTGCCTGAAGTCTCCTGAGGCTAAAAGAAGGTGAGAAAGTGGGGAATGGAGTGGAAATAGGCTGCAGTGGTAGTGGCAGGAGGAATAGTTGTTGAACTATTAGCCCTGAACAGAAGAAAGTAATCCCACTGACCGAAAGATGATGTTGTTGGAGATAAGGACAGACTAGAAAGATGAGGCTGAAGAGGAAGGGAGAGCTTTTAGGTGGTCATGTACTACAGTGGTCCTGGACCTTTCTGGCACCAGTGCCTGGTTTCGTGGAGACACTTTTTCTACCCACAGGGATTAAGGGGAACTTTCCTTTTATTTTTTTATTTCTAGTATATGTTTACAATACATAATTACATTCCCTAGTGCTTGCATTACCACCTCAACTCCACCTCAGATTGTCAGACATTAGATTCTTATAGGCAGCACACAATTTAAGATTCCTTCTGTGCAGTTCACAGTAGGGTTCCCACTCCAATGAGAATCTAATACAGGATGTGAATTCTTTCCAGCCTTCCTAAGTCTCTATGCACAAGCAAAGAAAGTAAAAAAGAAGGAAGAGGCCAGGTGTGGTGGCGCACACCTGTAATCCCAGCACTCAGGAGGCTGAGGCAGGAGGATCCCTGTGAATTCAAAACCAGCCTGGGCTACACAGTGAGTTCCAGGTCAGTCTCAACTACATAGTGAGACCCTGTCTCAAAATACCAGGAAAAAGAAGGAAAAAAAAAAAAAAATGGAAGAAACAAATTGGTAAGGAAGAGTGAATTTAAGTAAGTCTTCTATAGTCTCTCAATGGGTTGAATAAAGTTTAATATACACAAGCAGCTATCTAAGGAAAAGTGGGGTTTTTTTTTTGCATTTAAGAAGATTCTTTAAGTCATGCATTTATTTCCAAACAGCCATAATTATTCAATTATTATTTGTAATGTCAAATCTTGTGACAAATTAAATTGAATATTTTCTCTAAATCAACTGATAACTTCCCTAAATTATGGCTCATCTACTACACAGTGTTCCAGGTCAGTCTCAACTACATAGTGAGACCCTGTCTCAAAATACCAGGAAAAAGAAGGAAAAAAAAAAAAAAATGGAAGAAACAAATTGGTAAGGAAGAGTGAATTTAAGTAAGTCTTCTATAGTCTCTCAATGGGTTGAATAAAGTTTAATATACACAAGCAGCTATCTAAGGAAAAGTGGGGTTTTTTTTTTGCATTTAAGAAGATTCTTTAAGTCATGCATTTATTTCCAAACAGCCATAATTATTCAATTATTATTTGTAATGTCAAATCTTGTGACAAATTAAATTGAATATTTTCTCTAAATCAACTGATAACTTCCCTAAATTATGGCTCATCTTTTCATTACTTTACTCTTAAATTCCAAAAGCAGTTGATTTGAGTCTCCCTTATAATGTACTGTAGTGATTAAGCAACAATAAGATACGATTTTTCAGACTAATGTATTGTTTGAGAATTATTTCCATGACAAATCAACATTATGGTCTTCTTTTCAGAAGCTGGTCAGTTAACAATGCCTCTGTCACCAGGAAATGCAACTATTTGACACTTTCAACTTTCAACGAAGGATTGATTGCATTTCCTAAAGTAATAATTAAAAACTAAATAATCAGTTACTTTGCATGTGCTAAGTACCACCCTAAACCCATGTTAGAAAACTAAATAACTGCCAGGCATGGTAGCACGCACCTGTAATCCCAGCACTCCAGAAGTTGAGGCAGAAAGATTGTTGCAAGTGTGAGGTCAACCTGAGCTGCACAGTGAGTTCAAGGCCAGCTTACACTATACAACAAGACTCTGTCTCAAAAAAAACAAAACAAACAAGGTAAAACAGAAAGGAAAGAAAAAGAAAACTAAACAACCAACTCAAGCATTTAAAAGTCAGAGAGATGCCACTGGGTTCTATATGATGGGATATAACTTCCTAGATCTATTCTCTGTGCTTTGGATTTCCAATCAAGTGTTTGCTTTTTAGGATGTACATTGAACATCCTAAAAACATTAATTGGAGTACTATGGGTGATTGATGCAGGAGGATCACAAGTTCAAGTCCAGCCTGGATTATTTAGCGACTTGGTAAGACCTTGTTCCAAAATCAAAAAAAAAAAATGTTTAAAAAGAACTGGGTCAGGGCTGGGGATTTAGCTCAGTGCGTGCCTGCCTCGCCAGTGCAAGGTCCTGAGTTTGATCCCCAGTACAAAAAACAAAAACAAAACAAAGGAACAACAAAAAAACTGAGATGTAGAGGCCTTGGCTTTAATTCCAGGTACTACAAGCAAACAAACAAAATACTAATTGGCATTAAATTCACCCTGAGTCACAGATTTTCAACCTTTTATGATAAAAGCAAAGAGCAAATCCCAACCTATTATAGTTATAACATCTAATATTTAACCTACTAAGCCACATGCTTTAAAACTATGCTCTTAATTGATTTTTATCACTGGCAATAATTTTGAGCCACATTTGCTATCACTGGCCTCCCTGCCTTCCTCCTTTTTTTCTTTGATTCCTTGCCTGCTTGATTTGTGTCCAGTCTATAAACATACACAGGGCACCAATGATAATCAAAGTTCTGTGTTAGATTCTAAGAATTTATGACAAATTGAATGTTGGTTCTGGGAGTTCATGATCTCATAGGAAAGCAATGCATAAAACAGGCACAGAATGATCATTTTATAACAAAGATACTAGTGCTATAAAAAGCATTAAGGACTCAGTGTTTATATTTGGTTATATTACCATATGCTGACACATTGTGTATTTATCCACCTATTTTAATGAAAATACTTCGGTCCAGGGATTTAGCTCAGTGGTGCTACGCCTGCCTCGCAAGCACAAGGTCCTGAGTTTGATCCCTGTTACCAAAAAGAAAAGAAAAGAACAGAACAGAAAAAATTAATGGAAATACTTCAGTGCATAACGAAAAGGGACTGAGGGATGCAAGAGTCATACAATAGTAGACAGCACTTTAGGGTAGGCTGTGGCAGAAGAGATCAGCTAGGGCTGTTGCAGAATCAAATTATGGGCAAGGATTCTCTGTTTTCTGCCATTCCACTAATGGAGTTTTTCTTGGGAGAGAGGAGCAAGAGTGTCAGAAAGGCGCTATACAGAAATTATTCTGATACAGAAACACAGATCACTATCCCTCAAAATATTTGATGATAATAAAAAGACAGCTGTGTTAAAATTCCTCTCAAAATATCATATTGATAAAAAGTAAACAAGGAAATAAATCTCATTGCTGAATTAGTGAAACACGGAAGTGTGAAATATGGCAGCACTGAGAGCATTTTGTCATTAACAGGCTACAAATGCATTTTCTTTTGTAGCTGGACAAAGTCGTGGAAAAATATAAAGAATCTCACAGGAGAATCTTGGAACAACTTTTGATGGTAGAAAAATCCCACAGGCAAACCATAATGGAGCTGGAGAAAGAAAAGATAAAACACAAAGAATACATGGAGAAGAGTGATGAATGCATGAGCTTATTAGAACAGGAATGTGAAAGGTAAGGCTGCTTTTGGCTCAAACAAGACCCATCCTGCAAACCATCACTAACCTATCACTATCAGCTGGGCTTTGTACCAGCTGTCAGGGATATAGGATGAACATGACACAGCCCCTTTTCTCAAAGATCTCGTGTTCCAGAGTGAGGATGAAGATAATGCTTAAAGTCATAATCAATATGTTAGAATAACCAGGTACACTTAAGTCCACAGAAACAAATAGTGTACATCTAACTCTGCAAGGGAGTAACTATTCTATGAAAGCTGCATAGAGGCAACAGGGATCTAGTCCTTAGACAAACAAAAAAGGGAACTACAGTATATTCAAGACAAGTGTAACAGCGCAGAGTGAGAAAAGATCATGAATACTGAAGGAATTCAAACTTTCCACATGCACAGGTTAGAGTATAGAATGAGAAAAGAAAAAGCCATAAGACATTAGTGTGTGGAGCAAATGAAAAATTTTACTAAGGAGAATGAATTAGTGACTGATGACCCTGCAGAGAAGAGCAAGGGAAACAGAGTTATTCCTAAGAACTTGGGTTTTTCACCAAAATAGGAAATATGAGAATGGGGCACAGCCTTTTGCTTTTGTGGATCAGGGAGGATGGTTTCCATATGGAGGGTTAGGCAGGAGATGAGTTCTATTTTAGAAATGTTCTGTAAGAGGTACCTTGATGTATTCCAAAATCTACTAGATAGAACATGTGTAAAGACAGTCCATAGTCAGAAATGCATGTCTAGAAAAGGACAGATTGGTTATGTGGATTTGTAGTAGGTTAGAGCTGAAGCTATGAATGCTGGTGTACCAGGAGACAGAATGCTGAGAAGGGAACCCTAGAATACATCAGTGCTTGGTTCCCTTAGGAAAAGGGGTCAAGATGGAAGCTTCGAAAGAATAGCAATAATGGAAAGAACCAGTAGAGAAAGAAGGTAATAAAAAAAGGAAAGACTTTCAAAAAAAGAATAAACAGTCAAATAGTACCACATAATGATGAAAAGAATGAAAAATGCCACTCAGGATTCAACATTAAGAAAATTTGGAACTTAATGAATTGTTTCAATAAGACACTAAGGACAGAAAACAAACTGCAAATCTCTCAAAAATCGGAAATTAGAATGTAAAAGCTTAAATGCAAAGTAGTATTTTGAGAGACATGATTGAGAGTCTGGTCAGTAACCATTTTATAACCACATATGGGTTTTTTGTTGTTATTGTTACTCCACTTTGACCCTCTATTCTGAATCAGTTTAGAAAGTATGAGTATCCATATTATTAAACTTCTTCACTGATACTCCAAGGATAAAAAATAATCTTTGCATTGTCAAATTTTTAGAAGGTATTTATTTCACTTTTGTTTCCATGCATACTTTTAAGTCACAGAGATGATAATGCTGAACTTCAATACTCACAGAAAAATACAGAAAAAATTATTTATGAGCTACTCCCTCCAAAATATTAGCAATCTCAAGTGCTTTATTAAAATACTTCCAATTCATAGTTTAGCTAAGTAACTGAAGTTATACAATATCTAAGCTAATGGTAAACTTTTGTTTCTCATCACTCCATCTCACAGTGGAGGCTTGCTCAGGATGCCAGGGTATTCATGACCCACAAACTCAGTTTTATTATTCCTAAGTTTGTTTTCTATTCACTATACAACTTCATGACAATGGGGCGGGGGTGTTGAGAGGTCCTTGTTAACTTCAGCCTCATGGTCTCTGAAATATCTACAGGAGCAGATTAAAGGAACTCAAGAAATCTGGAACCAAGGGAAATTAAATTCAGACTTTACAATATGGGATTTGTTATTCAATGAGATAATGTTATATTAAATATTATTCTGAACCACCATGGTCTGGCACTAGTGGCCTCATTTGTCCTACATATTTATTTGGCACTAAGTTGCTGAACATAGATACTTTCTTTCATCTCTCCTTATTGTTAACATTTATGGCCACGGATTTAGCTCAGTGGTTCTGCCGCCTGCCTGAGTTTGATCCCCAGTACCAAAAAAAAAAAAAAAAAAAAAAAAAAAAAAAAAAAAAAAAAAAAAAAAAAAAAAAAAAAAAAAAAAAAATTTATGGACCAGGCTCAGAGTGCCTGCCATAGAACAGAGGCAAGGCTGCCCCTCCCCAGGGGTTCACCCCATGAGAAGACAAGATGATAGATGAAGAGCTGTTAGGATATAACACTACTTTCACTTCTGTATCTATTCTTGCATTTTGGAGGAGGGAAGGGAAGGGTTATCCAGAAGTAACACTGTAACACTGGGAGGCAGATGGTGATGATTATTTAAGCCAAAGGAGAAAAGAGGTACAACACTGAGTAATAGGAACCAAAGGTCAGTGGGAATAAAGGCCATGTGCTGGAGGAAAATAAAAAGATAAATATTAAGTGTGCATACAATGGAATCAATATGTTAAGAATGGTATTTCTACATCTATGAAATGAATTTAAGAGGAAGAATTGAAGAGATCCTAGCTTTTAGTTTTACAGATTACTAAATTTAGTTTGAGGAATAATTAAAAGGAATATGCCATTACCAAAAAATAGGAAAAATGATTAAAGAGGATTCCCTATTCCTTGTTTAGCAATTCCAGGAGACATGAGAATATTTACCTATTTCTATTTGCCAAGGAATGGCTTCCAGATGGAATTCTTTGGGTGTGAGAATGTTAAATCTATTATCAACTCATGTGACACACAGATAATTCTTCCTCTGTTCCACCTATACAACATTGCAATTCCCATATCTTGGCACTACTGCCACATTCATACTCACTCTCCCTGCTCTCCCGACTTCTGCAGACCTCATGAGGCATAAATGACTTGCACCTCCTTTAAGGTCATGTGCATTAAAGTATTAAGTGAACACCACTTACAAATGAGCCGTGGAGAAAAACTCTAATGATTTCAGGTAAATATACTCAGAGGAAGTGTTTACACACAAGAATGAAATGCCAGTAATGTGTCTCATTTTTAGGCGACATGGCAAAACACACATCATCACTGAGTCCTTCAATGTTTGGCACACAGCCACTATTCACAGAAGCTGGACTTATTTGTCTTAAGGGGTCAAAGAATAATGTTCATTTCCTTCCTCAAACAAAGTGATACAAGCTACTCCCAAACTGGTAGACTTTCAGTACTGTAGCAAAACAAAAGATATCATAACCCCCATAAAAAGGAGGTTGGGTGAGAATAGACACAAAAGACCATCTGATTAAAAGTCTAAAAAAACACTGTGAAAGTCTAGCACTCATATATAAGTATTGGTAAATACATGTAAAAAAAAATTAAGAAATGTTTGAGGTAATTAATGAAACCTGAGAGGATATAATAATGGATTTAAAATTAAGGCTCAATTTCTGTGTTTTGTTTTGTTGTTGTTGTTGTTTTTTTTTTAATAATTTATTTTATGTGGAAAACCCTAAAGGAACATGATGTCACACATCAAGTCTAGGCCAAATTGTTTGCCAAGTGATGTGGCTGTCCTAATCAGTAAGCAGTTGGCTTTGTAACACAGGGTGACTGGGAGCAGGGATCAGCTCAGGAAAGCTGTTTCCAAACTTGTTAATGTAAAGTTTCCTTAGCTGTAATCTGTGTGAGTTGGTCCATCTATATGGCACTACTGAACACATTTCATGACAATTTTCTCTGTTCACTGAGAAGTTCCACTGTGCGGATGTGTCACTGATGACCTGAGTTATGTACTTGGCTGAATTGCAAGTGGTCTATGTGAAAGGTTTTACATAAAAGCAGCGCCAATAATTTTTGGCCTTTCTGGACGGCTTCACAACAAAGCCAAAAAAAAAAAAAAGTAATTTTGCAAAATTTTCCCATAAGTGAAATGACAGTTTTTGTTTGTACTTTCAAGAAAACTGGCATATTTCTCTTTTTTTTTAGTTTCAGCAGAAGATTGTGAAGAAAAAAAATTTCTTTCATTTTGAAACCATGCATTCTTTTTTAGAATACTAAACTAAAATAAACGCTCTATAATCATATATATTACTACATTTCTGGATTTGAAATAACCACTGACAGAGGAAACACACATTGTCATGGTAACAAGGTGGCTTCAACCATGGATTTGTTTATTTTTTTTGTAAAGCCTTAAATTACTTTTCATAAGGCCAAATAGATTAGCACAGATATCCTCATTTTATGAATCAAGAGTTCATATGGTAGCTTCTCAGAAGCCACATAATGAGGAAACAATCAATTTCTTGTTCTTGTTCTTCCCAAGACTAACTAAATAGAGATAGAGGGGACATAGGAACTTTTGGAGTCAAAGCAACAAGCAGTTTCAAGAGTTGTAATAAAGAATGGATAGAAAGGGACAAGGATATGTGTCTCTCGCAAAATGTAAAGGGGTCCAAGGGAACAAGGGTGAGGGGTGAAGAAAAGGGGAGAGGGAAATGAGAAAAATAAAGATATGCCATGTACAGGAACCTAATAACCTCAATGAAAAATTATATGTCATAACACGAGCTAAGATTACTATCAACAAGAATGAAAATTGTGATAGGAGAATTAGAGAAGGGAGGGGAAAGGGGAAGGAAAGGGGATAAAAGAAAAGAAACAAGCTGTAGTATGTGCATGTACTCAGTCCCCAAGATGATTGTAAATTGCATGTACTGCAAACATGTACTAGTAAAATTTTTTTAAATGGTAAAAAAGGGCAGAGATATCTTTTATGAATGTAAAATACATCCAGATTCCATAAAAATAAAATAATATGGTTTTTCTTTGAGCACACCCTGGGAAAATTTTGGGTGTTGAGTTTTGGGGGAGAACAAACCACTTCCATTTCTCACTTTGGCTTAAACTAACAACAGTAGACCTGGTTTGGTGGTACATTCCTGTAATCCCAGCCCTTGGGAGGCTGAGGCAGGAGGATTGCCTTGAGTTGGATACCAGTCTAGGCTAGATAGTATGTTCAAGGCCAGCTTGAACTACATACCAAGACCCTTTCTCAAAAAGCCAACCAACCAACAA